CAGACTATACTGGGGTCTAATCTATTAGACCCAAAAGGGAGAGGATGGATATCTGGCTTTTGCAAAAGGATGTCAGTTCTAAATATGGCTATGTAAATGCTCCTTCCCCTGATTCATAATTTATTACATATCTAATTAATTCGTTGTAATCTACGTAACCATAGACAAGGTAGTCCGTGCTGGTGTGAACCACGGCCGATATATTCGATCACTTGGTGGTTGTCCGTTTGTCTCATGATCTGAGGCCATTATTATTTCAGATATAATGAGGCTAGGATCCAGGATCGTCTGGCATGTATTAAACAGGCGAATATAGGGGCAGATACAAGTTACGTATATCAACCGACACCATATCACTGATCTGTTCGTTCTCGTCTATTGCCGGACGTACGTATTTCTAACAAACGCTGGTTGCTAGGTTACTGATCACAGGATCAAGGCTGAACACAGTGCCTTAGAGCCGTTTTACACACAAGATAATTACTCCGAAAATTATGGTTATAATTACGCTGAAAATTTTTGCTGTCGTATTACACCTAAAAGAATTCTTGTGAAAATGTTCATGGTAAAAATATAAAACCCGTTCTATAGAATATGCGCGAGAATCGGCGCAGAGAGGGTTATTTCCGTGCATGTCATTATCAAATGTCAACGTCAATAACATAACCTCACTTAACATTTGTGGGTGTGGTCCTGTACGAGTCGTACGAAGAAGCGTTTATTGTTATTGTTTATTCATAATATCGTGGAATCGGGAAGAAGTTACACTGTTGTTGGAGAAGTACCAAAAATGGAAAACCTGTACAAGGTGAAGTCACCCAATTACAAAAAAAGAAATTTGTGGCTTTAGGCGCTGGATGCGATAGTCCAAGCATTGAGAAGTTTTATAATATTAACCAAGATCTCGATTTCAAAAATAAATTTAAATCAACGACGTCTGTTGTCTTTCCGATTATTTTGGACATCATACCCGTTAAGGTTATTTCCATTCGAAAATATTACTCTAATGCGCAGGCGTATCATATGAATTACTCGGAAATTTTGTTTGCTTGTGTCATACAGGTTGTAGAGAAAATCTTCATCTTTTTCCATGCAAATTTTCGGCATAATTATGACCATAATTTTCGGAGTAATTCTCTTGTGTGTAAAACGGCTCTTAGATAATATATATGGGGATCACAATAACGTAGGTCGTAAAAGTTTTGGCACAAATTATTTATCGGATTTTGTTTTTAATGAAGAAATTTATTCAAACGTTAACTAGTTATCGTAAATTACAACTCAATGCTTAACTAAACTATACTGTCGAATTATGTACAGTGGTCCATTCTTCTTTACCAGCCGCAACATTCCTCAAATGTCACTCATGAGGACCTGGACGGAATTCAGATCAATTTATCTCAGTTTTTCGTAAATTCAACGTCTTAATTGTTCTTCATTATGGGCTTCCCAGTCCCCATGATAAACCTTCCTGAACAGTAAATCCCAAAAATCCTCTATTAGGCAAGCCTGCAGCAATCTTGGAGGAATATAATTTTTCGAAACAAAAGGTTTGTTGTGTTGTCGAAGAGAATTGTGGGTATCTCTTGAGTAATGGTCTGGCCAAAACACGATAGGGTCATTAGCATGATGTTCAAGGGCAAACTGAAGCAATTTGGAAAAGCAGTTGTCAATATAGCTCTGACTATTCAAAACTTCACCCCTCACTCCTCCCCGAAAAGGTTGGGATACACCTCTCTTAGAAGTTGTGCACCAGGCAAGGATTTTATCTGCAAATTCCGCTTCATGTTTTTATCTAAAATTCTCAGGGCATTCCTCTTCGTTGTCCATATGAAATCGTCGTCTTCCTTCATTTCAGAATTGCTCTAAGTGAAATACTTTTCGTCAGTTGACGACAGCATCTTAGTATACGAAGAAGTTGCGCTTTAGAGTATTTGGGGCACTTAAGACTCTTTCGATATTTAAGACCACTCTTCCATAATTCCAACGATATCGTACTCTTAGGAGATCTGAAGATCTGTATTGACAAGCCCAGTCTCCTTGTTGATGATCCAACATGGCTGTTTGCTCTTCTCACCAATCTATCTCTATGCAGTGAATGCAGGTAGTCTTCCACTTTTTGGGAGCATCAGACATTGTATTTCCTGCTGGCACTCCGCTATTGTTCGATAAATTTATACGACATCTCAAATTGAAGACTTCAAAATAAATAAATTTCCACGCCTTTTTTTGGTTAATTAATAAACCACAATGATAAACACTATCTAACGGTTGGTCCAAGCAAAACAGTTGACTAGTGGCGCGAAAATTTAGGCCTTAGCTCAACAAAGCGGAGAGTAGGGGGAGGTTAAGAGCGCCAGTGACTTATGACGGATTAAGCCACAACTACCCGAGATGTTAGTTGGAACTTGTTTTGCTTAACCACCGCACAAAAGGAGAATCTAACAGAGATGATGAAATTTAAGTAACAGTACACACAGAGAGAGCCAAATAAAACAAGATTTTAAATGAAACAATATATTGATTAATAAAAAAAATGCACATGTGCTCCACTACTGGAGTGCGAGTAATAAAAAAAAGGATGATATAAATCTTAAATACAACCTAATAAAATCATTTTTCGAAACGTCTACCATGGTATATGCCCGAAGTATTTACAAATAGTTTGCCCCTAAATATTAAACTTGTCTGCAGGTCTTCTTTGTCAGGCGCGGCCGAGATGTCCTCAACTCTGGTCAAAAAGTAGCCAGTAGTGGGCACGTCACTGAGCAGGGGCTGCTTGACTCGTTGCCAAAAATTATGGTAGTAAAAAAACCTTATAGAGAGAAAGACTGTTTAAAAATCTACTCCACTCTCTGTCTGAGATGAAACTACTCATAAACATAAAAATGAATTAAACTAATATACCTTTGTTCTAAAAAGTTATGGCAGCTCAAAAATCAAAATCATGATCAATGTAATAGAAGGTGCCGTAGGCACTGCCCCCATGTTTGAATACGAAGAACGTCCAATAAAATCAAGAAGTCTCTAAGAATTTCAATAAGCAATAATAAATGTATAAAGATCTCTGAAATTGATAATTAGAATGACATTTTACCTGTTCACATCAGGGTTTTTTTTGCAAGGGGATGGCTTCCACCAATTTGCAAAACTGCAACAAGATGCAACCAACTGGAGGAGAAAGGATGATGATTCTCTTCTGTTTCTATTGACTAAGAGCCGTTTTACACACAAGAGAATTACTCCGAAAATTATGGTCATAATTATGCCGAAAATTTTTGCTGTCGTATTACACGTAAAAGAATTCTTGTGAAAATTTTCATGGTAAAAATATAAAACCCGTTCTATATTATATGCGCGAGAATCGGCGCAGAGGGTTATTTCCGTGCATGTCAATATCAAATGTCAACGACAACAACAACAACATAAACTCACTTAACATTTGTGGGAGTGGTCCTGTTCGAGTCGTACGAAGGAGCGTTTATTGTTATTGTTTATTCATAATGTCGTGGAATCGGGAAGAATTTACAATGTTGTTGGAGGAGTACCAAAAATGGCCAAACCTGTACAAGGTGAAGTTACCCAATTACAAAAACAGAAATTTGCGGCGTCAGGCGCTGGATGCGATAGTCCACGCATTGAAAAGTTTTATAATATTAACCAAGATCTCGATTTCAAAAATAAATTTAAATTATCGACGTCTGTTGTCTTTCCGATTATATTGGACGTCATACCCGTTAAGGTTATGTCCATTTGAAAATATAACTCTAATGCGCAGGCGTATCACATGAATTACTCCGAAATTTTGTTTGCTTGTGTCATACAGGTTGTAGAGAAAATCTTCAATATTTTTTCCATGCAAATTTTCAGCATAATTATGACCATAATTTTCGGAGTAATTCTCTTGTGTGTAAAACGGCGCTAAAAGAAAGCAGATATTGAACGAACATCATTAGGACACGCGCTAAAGGAACGTGGTTTGAAGGTATATAAAAAAGAACTTACCGCTGAGGGTCAAAACCCCATAAAAAAGATTGAAGACGTAGCACCCAAACCAAAATGACTAAACTTAAGTTACACATACAAAGGGTGCTAGTCCATGAATTGGCGCTTGGGGCCTAATATCCTAGAGTCCGGAAAATGACGAAATGACCCCTGCACCACGACCTCAACGGAAACAGAAAAGCGAATCACGCAGAACACGTAACGTTCTAGGAAAAGGTATCTTGAGTGGCCTTGAAGAAGATATGTTTTATAGGAAACCAACTAACCGAGAAAAACTACAGCGTTTTTTGCTGATCGTCAACACCATACTGAATCGCTGAGAAAGAAAGATATAATACGAGTGAACTTTTACAATCAATCAATTTGCCAAGAGAATATCCTTGAAAAGGGTTTGGCCTAGGAATGGGCACTCTATTATCTTTTATTTCTAAAGGCAACTTGATATTATTTCGTGTTTGTTAAAATTAAAACCAATGTCTTTTGTGCCAAAGCTTTAAGGACATACAGGGTTTGTCCGGAAAGTAAAAGGACTGAGTCGATTTAAAAAAATTCATTGAGCCAATCGTTACAATTCTTTAAAAACTTTCAAAATAGGCTCCTTCTGCGTCGATGCAGCGCTGCCAGCGCGATTTCCAAGCATTGAAGGCGTCACGGAAGGCATTCTCCGGAATAGCCTTAAGAGCCGCGGTGCATGCTGCTTGGATCCCCTCTGTCGTCTCAAAATGCTTGCCTTTCATCATCCTTTTGGCTGCGATGTCTCTAACGAACGCTGCATTTTCGGCCACTCACAGTAACACGTCGCGCACGCTCCGAAATACAGTCATGGCGGAAGAAAATGAGTCCTATTACTTTCCGGACAAACCCTGTACGTTAGACCCATATGGGCCGCATTGACGTTTAGACTAGCAAATCATTCCCTTTTTGGTAATATAAGTACAAGCTTAGCGTTTCGCAAACCAGCACACACAACTTGAATTCTCGAAAAGAATTCCAGCCTCCAGTAGGATCCGAATGTCTGTGGTCTGTGCTGCCAACGGCGTTGCCGCCTTCGCCACCTTTCTCGGAGGTTACGTAACCTAGTTTTCTGTGTGCCTGCCTTCGTTTCCTCTCCTCCTGCTTCTCCCGTTGCCTCCTCTATGCTCCTCCGTTGCTGGTCCTCCGTCTCCTCTGCTGCCAGTGCCACCCCTTCGCCAGGAGATCGATACCTCCCTTGGAACGAAACGCGGGGGCGGTTGGGCGAACGGCCGACGGACCTCGTCCCTAACCGGCCGACGCACGGATTGATACCCGCGACATATTTGCTGAAAAAGAACTCTGTCAATGGAGGGTTCGATTTATCAAGCTTTTTGAGTTTTGGCCATTTTTCAAAGTAATGAGGTGATATACGCGGTAGGAAGGAGGATAGTCGACAAATACGCAATAGAATAAGAAGTAATGAAAGGAAGAACTGTCAAATATCAAAAACAACGCAAGAACAAGGAGCAAAATAATGGAATTACCTGCAAAAATCAGTCGGGCTGAAAGTGGTAGACTGATGATTATGAGGGCTTTAAATAGTACACAAAAGTACGTCGAGCACCATAGATAATGCTCTCTCCCAAACAGTGTGTCACTTAGGGAAACCATGGAATAATGTAAATAGTAAAATTACAGTTAGAGTCTCGCACTAGATGAGCAGCAAGGAACTACCATTACCAATTACACAATACAGTGGCTTTTATAAAAGTCCCCTGCTTACTAATTTTTGAACTGATCAAGCTTGCATGTTGCAATACCAGATAATAATAATAATAATTTATTCACATCAATTACAAATGGTGAACAAATTTATGTGTCACAAAAGGAAAGTATCCTTGTATGTGGATATCATTCCAACAAAACATACATATAACAAAGTAGTTACAATTAACTGATATGACTAAAAATAATATATAACTTAAATGTAATATTAATGTGTACATTAATTTTGTATCGTAGATTAGCAATCAATAGAATATAGTTATATGTTAGTTTTTTATAAATTACATCATACATATTAGTATTCGTTAGTCACTCGTATAAATCTATTTTTAATTTTGTAAATTATAATATAATTTTGGACCTAAGTATACATAAGATTTCAACATTATTTCTGCTTTTTTTTGTGTTGCAATAATTATTTGCTTATTTCTATTTCACATATTCATAATTTTTATAAATGGTCGAAAGTTTGTTTTTATAGAATACTAGTAAAACATTACACCTAAATAATTTTTTATATCTAAAAATTTTGATTATATAAACAGCGATTTGCAGGGATATAGAAAAGGCTTGTTAGGAATTGTTTTAATGAATACTTTTTGTATTCCGTTCAATTTAAAGCAAATAATTTTACTTGAATTGCTTACCTTCGATGCGCCATTTTTGAGTAAAAGAATAAAAACCGTTCTATTGTAGCAGAAAAATAATGTAATAATTGAAGAATGCAATTTAGCAACAAATATCTAGTTGCTCTGGAATATGTCACTGGCTTTTAACATCTGACAAGTCTCTGTTATTCAAATCTGTTCGCTTTTTCATTATTTAGTTTTTACAATCTTGTTAATAATTGTGAATTATTCAAATGCAGAAATGGCGGAAACGCATTACGTATATGGCCTTGCCGACGGTAATGGTGAGCAAGCCAGACGGAACATCACCAGGGGTATCCCGATCGTGCTTTGCCAGATAGTCGAACCTTTTCTAATATTCATCGTCATCTCGTTGAAACTGGTTCTGCCAGAAAAGGAACATCTGAAGGTAGACCTCTAAGTGTGAGATCACCTGAAATTGAGGAAGCAGTGATACACCAAGACACTAGTGTACACAAGTACCATTAACACTAGAGGAATTAAGAGAAAGAATAGTTTCAGCTTGTGATAGAATAAAAAACACTCCAGGGATACTTCAACGAGTGCGCAATTCCCTGAGGAGGGCGGAAGCATGCATACTAAGTGAAGTGGGGCCATTTTTAATAATTTTTGTAATCTTTTCATTGGTTTTAATTTTATGTTTATGTTGTCAGTTGTTGTTGTTGTTCATTACCCCTAATGTGTTTAATTTTTCCAATTAAATTAATGATAATTTTCCAAGTTAGTTTTTATTTTTTTACTCAAAAATGGCGCATCGAAAGAAAACACTTCAAGAGAGATCATTTGTTTTAAATTAAATGGAGAATTCAGAACTAATTTATACTTGGCAAAAAACCATTGGCGTACCATTTTTTTCTCAAAAAATATCGAAGTCAATACCCGTACGCACGTCATTGTTAAAGCTAAAAATTATTTTTGCATTGAGAAATATGCGACTTTATTAACTTCCACTACGTACTAAATATCAGTGAAATATCTGAAGCGGTTCTGAAGATATTAATTAATTTCCATTTTTTTCCTAAAACTTCAATACTCCGAGTTTTTGTAAGGAAACATTTTTGGACCCTACATTATAAAGCAAACTAACATTAATTTTTTATGTAGATTCATACCCTTAAATATTCGCATATCATCAAGGAACACCCTGATTAGAAAAATATACGTACAGTATATTCAGATAAGAGATAGACCGGATGTAAACAAAAGGTTCGGGTGATTTTCACGCTAACGCCGCCGTCTCGACGTAAAACAGGAGTCCTCATTGGTCAATTCGCAATTAAATGCCTATGCCGAGCGGCAGAGCAGTCGTATCAAGGCAGAGTCACATTCAGGTTCAGACGTGTTACGTATGTCGTGTGCATCATTGCAATTTGATATTTCTTTGGACGTTTTCGTTTGTTATCTTATTAAGTTGTTGAGTTTGTCGTTGTTATTGTTATACCTTGTTATTGATTGTTATTGTTATCAACTGCTTGCGCAAAATGCCCAGTAGTACAGATACTGCCGATGAAGTTGTAAACTCCTGTAGTCCACCTAGGAAACGCTCTAAATAAAGACACCTGAGTGCAGAAATGAAAGAGGTCATTTTGAATATATATAAGATCGAGCGCGAGGAGAACGAGGCATCAACCATCAAAGAAATTTTTGTGAAGGTTTCTCACAAAGTTGGGGTGTGTCGCGCATCAGTGTTTAATGTGTTAAGACAATACAAAAAAAATCACACCTTTTCTGAGCCAATGACCAGTAAAAATCGCAAAAGTATTGTTAAATCATTGGATGAAGCTGATAAGCATGCGATTAGGAGGAAAGTGCATGAATTCTTCTTTAGGAATGAAATACCTACTATAGATAAAGTACTGCAGGAGGTAAATGGACATACAACGTTGCCAAATTTCAAACGATCAACTTTCCATGCGTTACTGAAGCATTTAAATTTCAAATGGAAAAAGAAGATAGAGAAGAAATTGTGCTATGGAGGAGGGATTATTTAACAAAAATTGGGAAATATAGAAATCAAAACAGGAAGATTTATTACCTTGATGAAACGTGGGTAAACGCAGGACACACTACAAGTAAAGTATGGGTTGATGATTCTGTAACTTTATCCAGGAGGGCCTCTCTAGATGGACTGTCCACCGGATTAAAAAATCCAGCAGGTAAATACGAGTAATAGACAACAATCGGATGTTTTTCAAACCTTGGGAACAAGGTTCTAAACATTAATTCCAGGGGGCAGATAAAACATATTATAAGTAACAAAACTTTTATAACTTTCGATAAAATGCGTGGGTGTTTTATTGTCATTTTCATTTGTTAGAACTTTTTTAAGCCATGTTTTCATGTGTTTTCGATATTTCAATAATTTTTTAATATAATCTTAAAATATATCGAATATTATAAACTTAAAAAAAGTTACTAAGTTTTATATTGTGTACCGTTCCTAATATTTCTAATCATTTTAATTCATACTTTAAGCTTTATAAAGTTATAATTTGTTAATATTAATATTTGCGCGTATTTCAGGTTCCTGATCATTCATTTTTTAAAGGTTTATAACTTTAAATTAAATTGTGAAGCGCTGAGTAATCATACGACGTTCAATATTCTTTCTTTCAATATGACTAAATAATCCCAATTATAGCAATCTGATACTCATGTCTCAATGTTTTTTCGCTGAATGTGATGAAAACATTTGAAAAAGGTTCGCTTATTGAAATAAATCTACACCAGTTAGTACTTCGATTTCCAGGTAAAGGGAAAAGGCTCATTATCTGCCATATTGGCAGTGAGGATGGATTTGTTGTTGACGGTCTGTGGTGCTTTGAGTCTAAGAAAACTGGAGATTACCACGAGGAAATGAATGGCGAATCGTTTGAACAGTGGTTTTCAAAAATTTTACCGAACTTAGAGGAAAACGCAGTAATTGTGTTGGATAATGCGCCTTATCATTCTCGAAGAATGGAGAAGGTCCCAACAACGGCTTCAAGGAAAGTTGATGTACAAAATTGGCTCCGCTCGAAAAATATCAACTTTGAAGAAGCAATGCTGAAAGTACAATTATTAAGAATTGTCAAGGATCACAAGGCGGAATATCAAAAATACGCCATTGACGAAATGGCAGCAAGTCAAAATAAAACTGTGCTCCGTTTACCTCCATACCATTGCGAGCTCAATCCCATTGAGCTCATATGGGCAGAGGTTAAAAATTATATAGCTAAGCACAATACAACTTTTAAATTTTGTGACCTCAAAGGACTTTTCAAAGAAGCACTAGAATTAATAACAGCGCAAAAAATGGGAAAACTGTATTAAGCACGTGAAAGACAAAGTTGAAAAGAGAATGTGGGAACTGGACAATATTTTAGAGGAACAAGTCGAGCCATTCATTATTGACGTTGGTTCTTCAGGCAGTAGCGATGATGAAAGCTCATCAAGCTCATCTTTCCAATAAAAGATGTCGTTCATCAAATTCGGTAAGTTATAAGTAATTATAAAGCTACAGTATTTTTTAATTAATTATTGACATTTTTGAACCCATTTTGGCAAAACCTATTCAAGAATCTACTTTCTGACAATGTTCAACCATGCACATTTTTTTACGTTTTGAACGTTTTAATTTGGTTACATATTTACCTAGAAATCAAAAAATATACTAATCAATATTCTAAAAGCAATTTTAAGAGATATACGATTATTTTTAATTTAGACTAATTTAAACGCCATTTTGAGATTATATTCGACTGTATTTCACCAAACATCAGGCGGCATCCGAAGCTGGAAATCGAAGCGAAAATTTTGAAACCCTTATGTATATTTACATCATTATATATTTCTTACCCCACCCCCACATGATCCTATATCCATCACCAATCGTATACACATCGAATTGTGCTAATTTACTACAAAGTTACGCAAAGCAGCATCTACTATCTAAAATATGTACTGCGTGACTCTTAATACGTCCCTGCCGAATGTTACAGCGTTCGATGATCACGTACTGTAGATGATGCAATTCATAAGTAAAAGTTAGCAGTCGACAATCTCAAGATGGCGGGTTATGTGCCACATTATACACCTTCTATCAGCTACAAAAAGTAAAATTTTAACAACAGTACTATTCCGTAGCAAAGCCTTCTAAAGTGTCTGCTCTAATGCCTCATCCTGATCATCAAAACCAATTCCTTGGTGCCGACTCTAGGTTTCATGAGTACTGAAATCTTCTTCAAACTACCCATATATGACCTGTTTACGTTCCTCTCGATATCATAACAAAACTTTATTTATTACAGTTCGACTTAAGGAACTACCATATTTTTGTTCTACCAGGACCCTCAGATCGACACAGCACTCGTTGTGATTAAGAGTGCACAGCGAGTAATTTCTATTTCTCTTAAAGCAATTGAATGTAACTGGTAGCTCACAATCTTTAAAGTACATCGTATGTCGAATAAACGTCGATATATTTACTTTGGCTCGTAGAGGGTTGTTAGCTTCTATAAATCAATTGTTGTAAGTTCAAACGCCAGCCTCGATAGCGTGCAACTTAAAGGAATTTCTTTTGTTTATTTTGTAGATGGATGTAATGCTGTTAGGCCTGTTTCAAGAATGGACACGGACGATTTTCTCTCAGAAATATCAGACAATACAGACATAGTCCGAGAACCTCAGAAGGAATTAGAACATTTTTTTCTATGTTCGATGTACTCCAAAAGGCACGTTAGTCTAATCATATTAGACGCCTGGTTTGCGGAATAATGTGAAAAAGCATTTATTTCTCCAAATTAAAAAAAATTAATAGAGAAAATTAATTATAATTCAGTTAATAGCGTTTTAGATATATTTTCGTTTTGTCCGACTTTGGGAGACATTAATACTTATTTTCGTTAATGCTTGCCGGTGTGATTGTTGAGTGCTGGGTAGGTAAAGCTAGAACGCTTTTTTCTCCTCCCAGTTCAGTTTTGAGGTTTATTTTTTGCAGCGTTTTAGCTTTCTCTACATACATCCACAACATGCATTTGTTTATATTTTCATGTTTATCCATCCTGTAATTGGCTATGGCTGTTGGATGTTGCTAAATAAATAAAATAAAAAATAAAAATTTCTTCTTACGTAACCTACTTATTTGACAAAGTCATGCAGTTATTAATAATGCAGCCATTTAGCACATGCTATATACTAACTAGTCAAGGGCGGATTTCACAATTTAACAAACCATTATTTTGCACCAATAGGGTACGGGTACCAAAGAGACAGTCAAATATACCCAATCAGCCGCAAGATCCCTCCGTCAAATTTTTGGCAGAAAATAGCATCAAAGTATTTAAGACAAAATACTGTAAAATATGTAGTGACAGCTTGTCATTGAAATGTTTACAGTTTATTAAATATTATGAAATTATATAAAACTGAGCAAAAATTTTATGCTTGATGTCTGAGTAAAATCCATTTTTTTCAGTTTAGCATTTTTATTTGTAATCCGTATGTGATTATATTAACTTAACACACCTACCGTGTGTTTATAGTTTATCCTACATTTGCAAACTTTTCACTCAAATTTTTGTTAGATGTTGCGTTTCATCACATTCATACACTTCTTTACAGTTCCTCAACGACATTTTAATACCACTAGTCCAAAACTGTTCAAGATTTTCAACATTCATACATACAATTGCAGTTGCAGTTTTTTTGTTTTGATTTCAGTGTATAATCAGTCGCACCATCCTTGATGGTACATGGTACACTCAACATAACCACGTATTTGGGGGTTAGTGCAGATTTAACGTGTACACGACGGTGTAATATGTAATTCTACACAAAAAAACATTGAAAAGAGAACTTTTTATACGGAAATTTATTCTTCCAAAATTCCATTTTCCACAAATAATACAAGTGACCACAACACATAGACTACAGTGACGTTGGAGAAGGAGAATAGACCAAAGAAGATCGATTATCCATGACAGGATGGAATGGATGCGCTGAGAGCTGTATAGTATAGTCACATATCCTGGTAGACTGATTTTGAAATATATTAACATCTGAATCATACACGCTAGAGCTCAAGAATTTTTTTACAATGAAAAAAATAAATAAAAATCCTGTTTTATATATATATAACATACAAATAAATCGCTTAACCGAATAGAGCTCTGCACGGAGCTGTGAACGCGTGGACATTCCGCTGCGCCGGCGGTTGCCAAGAGACTGAAGCATATGAGTGCTGTAACTCGCTGCGGCGAAACGGGTAGTACAGCCACGCCCCTTCCAGCTGGCACTCCGCACGTCTGCGTTTTCTTATCTGACAGTATCATGAAGCGACTCGATGTTTAGGTTGACGGAAGTGGACGCGCCGAGTGGGAACTGGAAAGGGGCGTGGCTGTACTACCCGGCAGTACCGTATCGTCGCAGCGAGGTACAGCACTCACACGCATCAGTCTCTCGGCAACCGTCGCCGCAGCGTGCCGCTCCGTGCAGAGCTATTCCGTTTAGCTACTTTTTTTAGTAGTGGTATTCACTATAGGGTTCTCGAGTGTGTCTCAGAGGTGCTTTAGTGCTGTGACGTGGGTGTCAAGTGTATCCAAAGTGAAAATTAGGTCTACTTGCAATTCTTCTGAGGGAAACCGGATATCTGTGTCGCAATACTAGGTGAGCCTTGCATACTCATCACTTGTATGTCAGGGTTGACATCCAATGTTTTTTAAATAAATGAGAATTTTAATAACGTTGTATAATAGACGACATGGGGACAGAGACGAATCTGAAAATTTTCAAACATTTTCTCTTGCAAGTCTGGTTGAGATGAGAGATTATTGAATCAAGTTGGGGAAGTATCGTTGATTGCTATTGTAATTAATTATCTAGACACTCGTTTTCATACATATGTATATGATGGTAGCGATGTCAAAGATGTGAAGTTACTTACCTAATTTGCACTTCAGGATCATTCACTTGAATACATATTTATTTCACTTTCACACTTTACTATTTTATTTAAAAAATGTGCTACAAAACAGAACAATATGTTCCCGAGTACCGCTCTGCTGCATCGCTCTGGATTCACCTGCGTGCAGGGCTCGGGAGGGGGGTTTGGGGGTTCAGGTCACATTATGCGAACTTGTTGCTATGACAGTATCGAAATAGTGCGATTTTTTAGATTCGCTACATTCAAACCACTTATATCGAACGACTAGAGCATTTTAGGCTATTGAAATGACCCTCTTATAAACCATTACTTCAATGCTACTTTTTTTTAGGTTAATAACTGTGGCATGCTGGCGATTTTCGATTGTACAAATGAAGCCAGAATTGTGGAACGACTTAATTTTTCTTCAGCTGATACAATTAATCTTAGCAGTGACGATTGAGGTATCTTAGGGGTTTTCTTCGCCGCTGGCAACGCCGCAATCTAGGTGGCAAGAATGACAAGATCGTATGTTTATCCCGGGATAACGACGGAGTCATTTAGTACGTCAAAGCGGCAGTTTTCCAATCTTCATTTCCATTTTTCAAGCGGGGTGCAACGATTTCGAGAAAAATTTCGCTAGGGATAGTCTTCTAGAGTCTAGTAGAACGTATTTCAATAGTTGCCTTGCATGGCCATGTTACAAAGATAGTGATTGACACGTTTTACAGATACAGGTGTTTTAGGATGGAGAGTACGTACTGTTTCGATTGCTTTGAAGAAATTCATTAACCCATAAATTGATGATAAATGATTATTATATGATGTAACGAAAGATGAGGAATACATGGAATACATTTTATATTCTTTTTATGCAAAATACAAACAAATCCGAATATTTCAACACGTGTGTAGCTATAATGATAACGTATAAACACTCAGTATATTGAACTTGACAAATTCGAGAATGCCATGCATTAACAAACGTCCAAACCTGCTATTAAATTTAACAGCTAGAACTTGGACCTATTATTTCTTGCATTCCCTTTGGCTAAAGGGATAACCGATGTATACGTGTGTACATTCATACATCAAAATACATGAAGATTATCCTGTTTTTTCTGTACAAAAGCATCAAAAAGTGGCGTTGATTATAAAAATAATCACTTTTTCACGATTTTATTCAATAATTCAATAGAAATCACTGATATTCAGATATCTTTGACAGCTTCCGTCAAGTTGCATTTCGATCGGTCTTTTGCCATTGGCCAAAGGTTAGTGAAATCGAGCCTTAGACAGTTTCAAACATAATTGTGTCTTCAGCTTGCGTGCTAACTTTATAAACGCATTTCAGTATGAAATATTTTTTTTTATAAATTTTAAGGCTCATCTGTGACCCTGTAAAAATGTCAGCTCTGAATATGTATACACAAGAGTATAAAGAAATCTTGAAAAAAAAATGTTTTCTACGCAACAAAAGGTGATAGACATATCCGCTTTGTTTTAAAATGTGTTCAATAGCGTATGTTTTTTGAATATCGAGGCGAATCTGTTCAATTACTTACAAATACGAAATGTTTGAATTTATTAAGAAGAAGAAACGTAACCCTTCGTCTTTCGCATTAAAAATAACAATCATCTTTCGGAATAGCTTGTCATTCAAGTCGTGTATTTTGCTAAAAAATACCCTCTGAACGAAACCTGTACATTGCTCAGTAAACTAGTAGTGATGGCCGGAAGGTGTTTAGCGGTAAACAATCAGAAATTCTCAAATACTACTTGACCAATCTACTCCAATTTTGTTGTTATTTAGAAGTACGAATTTGAAGAATTTCAAATTTCTGCTAGAAACCATCGTCGCATTAACAATAAGTGCCAAAACCTGCAGTTTTCCACGGTTTTCGGCCAAAACTTTTTTGTTATTAGTCGGATCTTTTTACGTCTTTAAAAATCTTATATAACTGTTTGTCCGTTCCTGCCAACACTTTCGATTAAATCCCAAAAAACACGTTTTCTCATTCTTTGTTGTCAAATAAAAAGTTTTCTCACAAAAAAACCTCAATAAAACCAAACCTTACAATTATTTCGCAAACCAGGGTAATTTTCCTCTAATATGATTAGACTAATTGGACATCAGACAATATGGCATTCAAAGACATTGCTTGCATTTTCAATTTCACTAAATTTGACCACAAATGTCTTGCTGGTCTTTTTAAAATTGAATAGACATTCTTTCTGATATTGACGCATAAACATTATTGATCATAGCGAATCATGTGTTTTAAAGTACATATAAGGTTTCCCTGTTCCCTATTAAAAATTGGTCCGGCTACTGGAAGTATTGAATCTACCCTATCCTGCAAAATGCTTCATGATGACCTTCACACTGGCTGTAAGTGCATCCAGAACGGACAAGTTGAATGTACCTATGGATGGCAAACTCGTGTTTATACAAATTCGAAGCAGACGCGCACGTGTCGTTAAAAGCACGTGGGCACGTTGAGTATCTGGTTGAAGTGACTCTGGACAATAAGTTTAAGCGGAACATGCAGTTATGTAACTTTCGTGAAAAACGGATAAATCGACTTTGCGAAAATAGGAATAAGAAGTACGATTAACGTTTCTTACAATAAAAGCCAGCCTTTTAAATTTATTTTTCATAGTTGTGGAATTACCGATCTGCATCCGTATAAGGTGATCTCAACTCTTGGACGAGAAATTACTATGATCCGGTAGTGGGATGTGATCAGTTGGAGGACTAAAATTTCTTCTAGCTTACACAGATGACATAGACCTCATAGGGAATTTAGTAATTACAGTTGAATATACAGACTGCAACAAAAGTTTGCAACGCGATGTCGCCAAATTTACTCTTTTTAGAAATTGATAGCAACTTTTGTTTTTCTTATAGAATGCTATACATTTTATTACATATTTGTATTCATAATACTTGTTATAGAACATACCTTGGTGTAGACCTCATAGTTTCCGTAATAACAATATAAGGTATTTTTTTTCACGTAAGCAAATGACCGGTATTTTCTGTCACTTCTGACATTGAAAAATCCATTGCGTTTTGTTAGTAGAGTTAATAAAAATATGATTTATTTAACTAAAACCAGGATGATAGTAATTCCAATATTGATTAAAGTATTTGATATTCCAAGGAAACTATTGTAGATAAAAATTAGAAACAAAGGAAACGACAAAAGCCCGGTTGTTAATTTAAACTTCAACACAAGATAAAAATCATAACAAATGGTTGAATTGCTGTCCATACTTCTTGCTTGCTTTAGTTCCTCGAAGTAAAATGGTTTGGTTTTGTATACTACATTTTCCAAGTACTTCCACAAAAAAAATAATCTAGGGGTGTGAGGTCAGGAGACCCAGGTGGCCATTCAATCGTAACTCTTCTACCTATCCATCTTCCAAAAAATGTTTGATCCACAAATTCGCGAACATTTCAAGCATAATACGGAGGTGCACCATCTTGTTGAAGCCCTATTCTATCGCTGGGCTCCCTTTTATTTACTAAAAGAAAATAGTATTAATATTTTTTATTGTTTGTGGTAATAAATGTTACGTACAAGGGTTAGGAAATATCTCCTCCAAGTATTTGACAATGTGATTCCTCAAGATATGCAAATATCTTTCAGCGTTTAAATTTTCTGCTATGAAAAACGGACCGATTATCTTTTGACCTATGATACCGGTCCAAATATTATTTTATTGTTGATATTGTGTATAATGTTTACGTACCCAATGAGGATTTTCCCTGGTCCAGTAGCGATTATGGCGATTAAGAGTTCCATAAAAAAAAAATTTTACTCCTCCGAAAAGATTATTTCCTACAAAAAATGTTAATTTGTACTACACATGTCCATCATGGTCTCACTGAATTGTAAACGCCTGTCAAAATCATCATCTGATAGGTCTTGAACCTGTAAGGATGGAATTTTTCCGTCTTCAAAATGCGTTCTACGGACATGTGAGGTGTATTGTTATCTTCACCACGTGTTCTAGTAGGAGGGTGGGGGTTTTCCGCTATGCTCACTAAAATATTCAAAGCCTTATTTTCGTTGCTTGGGTGAAAAAAAAATACCTCTTATTGTTTAAATATTAATATTTAACCGCGAATGTTTCGGAAACCATGAGGTCTACGTCAAAGTATATTTGTTAGAAAGTATTCAGAATTTCTCGCAGAATACAAATATTAAATAAAATGTATAGCATTCCTTTAGAAAAATAAAAGTTGCTATAAGTTTCTGAAAAACTGTAGATTTGGCAACATCGCGGATATCATCAACGGTTTTGAACCTACCAATTTTAAAAAAAAGTTATATTCGTCAGATATTCGATGCGTTCCAAACTTTTGTTGCAGTTTGTATGTTTAGTCGAACAGGTATAGAAACCAAATACATGCACTTGAACAGACAAGGAAGAAGGAACACAGAGTGTAACTATAGACTTTGAGAGGGTTGATTATGCCAAGTACTGCAGCTTTAGTCCAACGATCACTGCCAATAATGA